AGCTTGTTAACTTTTATCTCAATCTGCTCCTTAATAATTCAAGGTGTCTGAAAGAAAGAAAAAGATGATAGGCACGGGGCCTCATAGCTTTTTTTTTGTTAAATAAATTTAAAACTGATTTAATTAAACTATATTCTTGTTTATGTATCTCTGAGGCTCCTTAGCCCATATTTTTGTCTTTCTGTATTATTCTAAAGGGACTCGCACCAGAATATATAAAGCATTATTATTATTATTACAGTAGAAGTTCAAGAGGCCATATTCTTTTCAGACGCCTTGTAGGGTCATCAGGGATCGAAGAGGATGCATGGTCAGGAACGAGAGGATTTGGATGGTTCTGAAGTTTATTATAAAAGAATAGATATCTGGATTGGGCCAAATCGGAAACTAAGGAACATTAAGATCGTTATGGATGATTTATTAATGACAAAGCACGGTGCATTGAGGATTTTACGAAAGATTTTGTGTTGTAAGGATTAGCCCAAATTTCTTTTTATATTTTTATGTGTGTAGTGAATATGAAAAAATTAAAGTTTTAGCCCTCGAATGTCCTGTGGGTTCGCTGTAGTGCTCCAAAAACTATTAAACTTTCGAACTTTTTTTGGTTTATTAAATATCTCCTTTTTAGAGCGACATAAAAATAAAAAATCGTTATATTTAATCATAAACAGCTTAAAATTATCTAATTTTTTTTTTCTAAATCCAACAGGAAGGAACTATCAAGCGATCAAAATTTACCTATTTCGATTTCTTCACAATATTGTTCTTTCAATTTTGAACGAAATAATTCCTTAATTCCACTTTGAACCTCGTTCAGAGAATTCGGAAGTTTTTCTTGAAGATAATGAGCCATTGATTGGAACGCTAGACGATAGTGAAGAGGCGTTTTGAAAAAAATGTTACACGGTTGTCCAGACCCCCCTACCGTGCACTCTCCCCCCCCCCCCACACCTCAATGAATTTCATATAGTTGTGTTCCTTGTAACTATTTATTACAAAAAAAGCCAGTGTTCAGTTTCATAATAAAACGTGGCCGCAATGTCCCAAAATGCCGTCCAAACATGGCGCTTTGACATCTGTTTTTCGGTCACTGAGATTCAGCATTTGGCTTAATTTCGTCATAATTGGTCTTTTATTAAATCTGGGTAGTTCAAGAATAACATGAAAAATTAATTGGCCTTGGCAATAAAAAACACCAGTAAATATAATTTTTTCAAGATGTTCGTAATGAAATAAAAAGTCAAGCATCATTTGCAAATAAACGGCTAACAATAATGAAAAACACACGAAGTAAATCATTAGGAGAATACATTTTCCTTCCTAAAACACTGATTAATTTTTAAAATATTTGAAACAGTTACTTAGAAAATACTTTTTATCGGCGGAAATGCGGCATTAGTACTCACACAAAAATGGCATAGTTATAGTGCTATAATAACGTTTTTAATACACTATTTTGATTGCGTTAACGAACAAATATGAATACAATAATTTAATAGTCCAAAACATTTTTTTTCTTTTTACTTCCCATATTCTTAAATTCTAGGAAATTTAAGACGGACTCTATTGTAAAAATTATTTATTTACAACTTAAACTTAATTCAGTAATATTTAGCCATTAAATATTTTTTTTTGGTATATTTATTGAATAGTTAAATTTTATGTAATTTTCAGAAATGAATCTTATCATTGTCTGTTTTATAAAACAAAATGTATACATGATCTGAATAGCATATAATGAATAATATCCGAACTGTTTAGCAAAAGTCATATATCAATAATCTGGGTTGGTAATAGGAATATAGAAGTAAAGATAATAAAAAAATGTTTTGGGCAGTTAAATTATTGTATTAATATTTGTTTTTTTAATAAAATCAAAATAATGCTCTAACGTTATTATATCACCATAACTAAGCCATTTATGAGTATTTATTTATATTGTTAGGTGTATTATGAATATAAAAAATCCAAGTTTCCGCCTTTCAAAGACTTGTGGGTTCGCCACAGTGCTCCAAAAACAACTTAAATATTGTCCCCCCCCCCCGCCAAATATGTCATTTTTTTGGCTAAACAATTGTTATATTCAATTTTAAACAGTTTAAAATTTGCTAACATTTAGTAAAAAAAATCTTTTTCAAACCAGATAGGAAACGAGCTACCGAGCTTTCAAAAGTTTTGAATATTTGAAAAAAAATAACCATTCTTTCATTATCATAGCTAATTATATGTATACATAGTTAACGTAGCATAAACATGTTTATATTAAATATAAAAATAGACAACTTAATTGCAAACCGCTAAAAGTAAATTAAACACATCACAAATAAAAAACATCCTTATCTATTTTTTTTTTTTTACGATTTTATAGTTATTTTAATGAAATGGGTGATAAACAATGACTGTTTATTTAAAAATAACTTTTTCTATATTTATTAAAACAAATAAATAGAAGTAATCTCCACATATATTATTACAGTAAGGCTCGAAATCGGTTTTGTACCAAATATAAGCTCCTGTCATGCTCAAATACCATGAATGGGGTACCGTTGGATTCAGAATTTCACGGGGGTTAGCGAATCTTATTCTCCACTTTTGTTTTTCTTTCTAAAATAAATAAAGTCGATACAAACATTTTGCTAGGCTTCAATACTGGAACGGTGGTAGGTCTGTAGATCGATGCGGGACAAATTGGACCTTGAAGATTTTGATGCGTACAGCAAGACCTGGATAGTTCCTCCGGAACTATCGGATCCTGCGTTTTTAAGCCCAAAAACGTACTATTTTCGAGATAACGCAAGGCATGGGGTTCGCATCCACACAACCTGACGTTAATTGTAGTACTGGCATTGGATACATGTCTCATTTCGTCGACTTGAGGTCTCTATGATCGAGACAGGAGGAGTTTATATTATTTATCGATGGTGTTTTTGATCGGCAAGCCATATCATCGTTAATTCTTCACCAAATCTCAAGATTGAGCCACCAATTTCGAAGGCTTCCTTCTCCTTCAGGCGGGCAAAATAGTCCAATCATCCCGAAAATTCAGGAAAACAAGTTATGAAAGAAAAGAAACTTTATTTGCGAATAACTAAAAAATTAAATACTTTTCCCTTGGTTATTCACATGGTTATATAAAACATTACTAAATTGTCTACAAAAGGAGAAAAAAAATCGTTGAAATAGTTCAATTTTTCGCAATGATACAGCTTATTGAAATTTGTAAATATGTTGGTTCCAAACAGAAATGAAGATTTAAATTAATTTTGTTTCCTTCGTCGATTATGTTTATCGATAAAGTAATAATTGATTCCTTTATCTTTTGATACGTTGCATTACTTTATTTTCTTATTAATTAGGCATTTGATAACAATATGCTGTGCGAATTTTTCGCACTGGCCTACTAGTATGTAATAAATTTTGTTTTCCGTGGCTCTACAGTCCTTGTAGGACCCTGGCCTCCACCTTTTTTTTTGTTGTTTCTTTTTATTAATAATTGCGCAGTGCTTCATCTTGGTGAGCACTGTGCCTCTCCATCGTATTACTTGCAGAACTAGTATATCCACTTTATATTTCTCAACCTCTTTCTAAATCCCTTCCAGCTCCAGATTGGAACAAGCTCATGACGTTCCATGTTACTAAATTTATTTGTCCGTTTCTGTCGTTTCACATGTAATCCATTTCTTTCCGAGGCTTTTTGTGGTTTCTTGAAAACTTGTTGGGTTTTTATAGGATAGGGTAGTAGTCCCTGAGCCCCAACATGGAGGACCGGGGTTTCCTCCCTAGTCGGAGGTTCCGATTTTAAGGCACCAAAAGCTCGCCTGTGCCCTCTCCCGTTAGCCTATGTCCACCATGGTGTGCATTGCCGAGCGGTCACTACGAGGAAGTGGCAGTAGGACTTGCTACTCCCATTGACATCCTCTTGAGGACTAGGGCCATTTCTCGGTTTTTTCCCGGGCTATGGGCATCGACATACCATATCCCGCCGTTAGCCATTGATAGCCATTAGACCGCTTGTACGCTATAGGTAGTAAATTTTGTACGCTTCAATATTCAACTTGAAGATATTTTTCTACGAAGCTTATGAAAAAAGATTTTCAGCCAAAAATAAAAATATATGCACGCTATTTACGAGTTTTTGAAAATATACTCGTTCTGAAAGCTCGGTAGCTAGTTTCCTGTCGGTTTAAAAAAAAAAAAAATGATTCGTACATATATGCTAGCAAATTTCAAGAAGTTTAAATTGAAAATAATCATTTTTTAGCTATAACGCTTTAAAAAATGAGATATAATCAGGGGTTTTTGGAGCACTCACAAGCCTTTCGGCGCGGGGGGTGGGAGAGGGAGGAATTTGGATTTTTTAATATTCACCATACACTTAACGATATAAAAAAAACTTCTGCAAGGATTCCTCCATTTTTGAGTACTAATTTTACTGGCCTAGATTGGATACAAGAGGAATTAGTGAAACTCGTAGATGGATTAGTGAAACCCCAAAGTCCAAATCCTTTAGTCTAAACAGGCCTTACTACAGTCCTGTACATGAGTATTTTATAACTGATTAGAAGCTAAGAACGTACGTCTTTGAAAGTGCTGAAGTAATCAGAATCATCGAGCGGTTTCTTGACGTTTTAGCGGAATTATATAAGCGGAATTATATAAAGCGGAACCTCTATTTATATAATTATTACATTATATAATTCATTGGCAGCAAAGTTTATTTAGGTATTAAATGGAAAAAAATTGATGCGTATAGACATTTCCGAAACTTTTGGCATGCCTAGCCATAATTATGAAAATGTTTATTGATGGATAAACAATTTTTCAATAAACATTACTTATTAATCATTGACATTTTTTGCACAGGAACAGGTAAAAATACTTTGCTCTTAAGAATAAGTATTGTGTGAGTTCTGACTCTTTATGAAAAAAGGATTGTAATCATTCAATAAATTGATAACTTTTGATTTTTTAATAGAAAACAATACAAAACATCTTAAAACTAAAATTTGTGAAATTTTAAAAAATTAAAAACATATATTTTTTACAACTTGGAATGCTAAAATTATGAAGACTAATTTACTCAAAAAATTGACACGTTTCTTCACCGTCATTTTAGGTTTGACAAGCTGCTTACTGGCAGCCCACTTGTAAACCGGTGAAGAACAACAGCCTTCTATTTCATCTGAAATGATAAAAAAATACAATTGGTAAATAATAAATAAAAATTAATTAATTTTATGTATTAATTGCTATAGTAACAAATTTCTAAGTTATAAATATTATATCTTTATGAAAAGATTCTCAAAAGCATTAAACAATAATACAGTTCTAATATGTAAGAACAGGTAGATTCCTTCAATGCAAAATAGTAGCCTAACTTTTGGTGAATGAAATCGTCGAATGAACGTGTTTACGACAAATGCCCATCTTTTGTACAGTTCACATACACCTGGGTAAAAAAAAAAAAAAAAAAAAAAAAAAAAAAAAAAAATAGAATAAAAAAGGTCCGAGCGTTTGTGATGCGGTGACTATTTTTAACCAGGATTATTGGATCGCTTCCAAGATAATTTTTAACTCTATTATAGCTGCTCCGGATGGTTTGGGGTGTAAATCGGGTTCTTCTTCAATCTGAGGTGTCTATAAATGTTCATATAAATTTCACTAACATCCAGTATTTGCTTCTTTCTATTTGAGGATTAACTAAGAAAATTTGGTTGGAAATTGCCGAAATTCTAACTATTCTTCCTCTGATGATAGCCCGTTTACAGAATCTTCCGATAATTATCCTTTATAGAAACGTAAACTTTCTCAATACTTTACGGTCATAGGATAATGTATAAGGGATGTACAGGTTAAAGCCGATCCAGCCATATAGTGTAGAAAACTCGTAGAATTTGTTTCCAGCATTATTCAACTTAAACTGAAGATTCCGATTATGTCATTGTTCTTAAAATATTTTTTAAATATGATACGATAAATAAAGAGAAAATAATGCTATTCCTGCCCAATGTGAAGCAAGGCTACATTAACGCCTATCGCCAGAAATGATACCTACAGCAATATACGATTTTGTACGCTGACGCACAGTGTGGCCGATTGGACTAAAGTCCAAAAATGAAGAGAGAAATTATGTTGTGGAACGTGTATGTCCGATTAGGTAGGATGTTCAGAAACAAGAAAATGCATGAATAATACGAGGAAAAATGCCAATAGAGCACTTATAATAGCTAAATAATACCTTTTCAGCTATTAAGAATAAAATACAAAAATTAAATTGATTCTGTTCTGTTATCCTCGTATATTGTTTCGCTTAACCCTGATAAAGGTCTACCAATTAGTCCGAAACGTCGGTACAAATCAAAATATTTAATCACCTAAAGTGGGTATTATTTCTGACTGCACTCCAAACCATTTTGTATTTGATTTCATATACGGTTGACTATATCTTCATCATTCTTAACGCTTAATGTTATTATTTTGTACAACTAATCAAGTTTACGACTGGGCGATAGGCTGTAGCCATTGATTGGCGAAAAGGTATTAGCCAGAGTTTGATGGTTCAAAAATTTGAACTGGATATGTTAACGCCGATTTAACCCCCTCTCCCTCACAAGAGCAGCAACAATACCGATAATAACAGCAACGTATCTTAGATTAATAAATAAATATGAATTTGTAATCAAGACTTGAGCATATTAAATTCTTGATATAAACAAAAACTATTAAGTTGCTAGCAAATGAAACAATAGCAATTAAACCTTAAAATTGGGTGTGATTGGAAATGTTTGAGAATTTCATTATGACAAACACCCGTCGCCTAAAAACAATAAAAACAAAAATACAAAAGTAATTCGGATAGCTAATCATAGAAATAGAACTGTCAGAAGTTGAAGTATGTCAAAAACGACGCCTATGGATATGTTCTGTAAGCGGTTAATTCTAGAACAAACAATGCTATATTAAGGATACAGCCTTGTAATAGAATTTAGCAGCTTCAAAGACATTGCATCTTGGAACTTTTTCAACAGGCTAAAAAATATTGCATGGAATATAACAATTGTTCTGCTTAGATTAATATCATCATTACATATTACACAACCCACGTAATGTAGGATAAATAATATAATATATAACTATAAAAGATAATAAATGAATTTATCAATGTAATGGCTTATTAGCAAAACTAACACGTTCAGTACAATATACTCTTTAGCACAGAGAAATTCAATAAAGTTTATAAATTAGTTCTGATTTTAACATATTGGTACACACACTCACTCACAAACAAACACATGTATTGTACAGATGGCTTATTAATAAACCAGCCTTCTCCACCTATGCCTATCTTAGGCTATTGGTTTCTATTTTTCTGTAAACAGCTCTACATCTTTGTTGATTCGATCTATTTATATACCTTTGGGCCTCCGGCGTGGTATCAAGCCAACTATTGAGGCACTCATTGTTGCAAAAAGGATTTCTGATGGATTCTTCCGAGCTACAAGTCTCACCAATCTAATCTCTTAGGTTTCATATTATGAGATATTGATTGACTTAGTTTCTGTAAGCAGTTTTTTATTATTCCTTCTCATCTAAACGTGAGTACTCTGATTCTAGATGGTTCCGAGTTATTGTGCGGAGAATTTTCCTATCACATTTTTCAATAATTCTTCCTAAGGAGCTGATTAGTATTCATGTTTTGCAGCCATATATCAGAATTGCATTTACCAGAGCATTGTACACGCTTAATTTGAAATTTTTAGGGATTTCGATATCTTTGAAAGAAAGAAAAAAAAAACTCTGTTTACGCTTTTTATACGCTGGATTATTTCTGATATTTGACTATTCATTGAGGTTATGTAAAGTATATGTATTTAAATCTTCCTACTCACGGATAAATTTTTTTCTTCTACGCAGATCCTGTTGTAGTGGAATGTTCGACTTACTAAAATGTATTTGGTTTCAAGTACCAGTACGCTGATTTATTTCGCGTCTCTTTGAGAGTCTCTCAATGTCCTCTTGATAGGTTTTAAGGACATCTATCAAGGATTCTACACATCAAGGATTTTATGATTCATACCGAGATACTCCTCTCCATTTTCATCCTTATCGCCAACTCCAGTGATATTGGTTTGATATCCAGTGTTGAATAGTATTGGCGAGAGGCCAACCCACTGCCGCAAATGATTACCAAATTTAAAGGCTTCCGATACTTCTCCGTGGATGAGCATTCGACATTTAGGATAATTTGAACAAGCGTAAGTCAATTTGAACTATATATATATATATATCTAGGAATATAGTGACAAAAGGGGTTTATTCAAACTAGGTGAACAGAAAACATGAATAAATATAATAATAAATAAATAAATAATAAAAAACAAGTATGAGAAGGAGTTGGTCGGGGTAGGGTAAATACATAGTATTATATATTAACCGCACCCCCATCAACTTCTTTCCAAATTATAATCAGGGTCAACCATCACCAAACCATTACAAAACAAATATTGTTGAAAAAAGAAAAAAAACTTCTTAAACATAGGCATGCTGATGAACAGTATTTACACACTTAGTACACACAGTCTGGAGAACTCCGAATCAAGCTAGTCGCCAACCCACTTGTGAAGTGGAAAGCAGGTCTCCAGGAGATGCCAGAACTTTTTAAAGCGCGTTACAGGCACTCCAAGTTTAGAGGACAATAGAGGGCATTGTACCCATAAACGCTCACAATTTGAGCGGAAAATTTTTCCAGTGCTAAACCTCAAGGAACACATTTATAATATCTCAGAGTTCTGAATATCCGGCGTTTGTTCCATTTAGTCTTACAAGGGGAAGTCATGGAAGTGGTATCTCCAATTTCAACATTTTTTTTAGATGATTGTTTTTCCAACATAATAGTACTTTTAAACCAGATAAAGAGTTTATAGATATTCAATTCCAAGAAACCTCTCCTCAAAATATATCTCCAGTTAAAAAAATGGGTAAATATTACCAAGTAATTTCACCAACAAAGCTAAGCAATAGATTCAATTATTAAGTGAGCATACCTTTGCGCACAATAATCCTTGTAAGTTAAAAAAACACAGTTCAAGACAACAGTAATACAACACTAAACCAATAGAAATAAAAATACCTCAGCTATTTCTATATAATATAAATAAATAACAACTGTTGAAAATGATTTAAACGCCTAAGTTCATTTACAACCAAATTATACGGAAACAATAAATATTGTTTCCGATAACATAAGACTTTAGAAGTATAACAAAGCATTACGACGAAGGAAAAATATAATACCACACTTATTCAACAGAAAATATAAAATCCTTAATTAGAAAAGTGCCGTATTCTGTAACTTAAGAGGAACTAAAAACCAAATTAAAATCAAAATATTTCGAAGTTCTCCATACCTCACCAATTTTGAATCAGAAAAAAAAAACACTGTTCAATTTCTTTAGTAAATATTGAAAAAAATAGGTACTTTTAAACTGGATAACTTATGTTTAGCCATCATTTCTGTTGGACCAAAACATAAAAACGACGATAAACTGGTGTGTACTAACTGTTAAACATATGGTCATACAAAACATTATTGTCACCTTAAACCCAAATGTGTTAAATGTAAAGAAAAACATATTTTTTTTTTTTAAATACCCATTGCAATATACAAACAAACCACACCGTGTTAGCTGTAAACAAGCACATGCAGGAAGCTATGGAGGTTGCGCCAACTATCAAGCTATCAAAAAAAATAAACTTACCTACTGAAACAAATATGACTATTATTAAAACAGATGAAAATCCATCTAGCGGTAAGCCAGCAAGGAGAGCTACACCATTTTTTTCTTACTCCTCAGTTTTATCACCTGAACAAAAACCTAATACCGAAGTTAATAGTGAACATATATTGCTACAATTACAAAAATCACCATTGAGGGTATAAAATTTGGCCTTCAGCTTGGTCGTTCCACATCACACTAACTGTTAAGACTGTCAGATTTTGTATTAAATGGTATTAAAATGGAAAAAAAGACACTCGCTGGTTACATTCCTATATTTTCAAAAAACCTTAAACAAGGTTTTGTGGTCTTCTGTACAAATTCAAGAAATTAGATAATTCAAAATACCCTACTATATGATATTCTGAATTCCTTTATCAACGATCGAACATTTACAGTTACAATA